CCCTCGCCGTATCTTGTATCACGTATGTCCTAATTCAGGCCACAAATCGACAGGCGATTGCCCAAACCACCTTAAACACCTCCACAGCACCTCTTCAAGATATCCCACTTTCAACCTCATCTCGCAACAATCGACCGCCGGCATCCAGGTTTCCCAAAGGACCAAGAGAGGAAAATTACCTACAATCCAATCGTGCACAGAGATGGAAGACCCAAGATCCCCACCAGAAAAACCGCGTAAACTCGCGACTCCATATTTACATCTTTCCCGGACTTCTCTCAAATTATTAGCTCTAAAAATTCGTTGGTAAACTCATAATGATAATCCACGCCCATGCAGGCGATTCTGCGGACAATCAGTCATTTCGACGCCCGGGTTCGACGACCGAGAGGGGAAATTAAAAGTAATCCCAACCCTGGAACCGGGTGTTTGCCAGGCAAACTTGTCCGAATTGGGGCTAAAGATGTCCCAACTTGAAGACCTCTAGCGGTCTCCGAAGACAACCCCAGGGGCTGAAGCGGAGAAGCTGCATTAACTGCCAGCGCATGGAATTTGGAGGGGTATTCAGATCGTGTTGACTGGAGTATAATTTGTAGACACTTTATGTGTGTGCTCTGGGCGAAAACATCGAAGTACTGGAGACACTGGTTGGCGGTTATAATTAAAGAAATCAAAAGAGGACGGATTCTATGTGAAGAGGATAAGACCGGCGTCTGTGGTGTAGGGGTTAAAAGCTTCGTGGTTGAACGCAGGAAACCCGAGTTCGTGTCCCGGATGGGGATTTTTAAAATTTTAAATCGAGTATCTGGGTCTTTCTGCTGGGATTCCGGATTGGCCTTCCAGAAATATATATATTTAAAAAAAGGGGGGGGGGGAATGAAAGACAGAAAGAACGAAAGAAAAAACGAACGAACGAACGAAAGAAACATAAAAACAACCACGCAAAACACACACACACACAAACAAACACACACAAACAAACACACATACACACAAACACACACACAAACACACACAAATTATACACATCACACAAAATTATAATTAAACAGACTAGATTACAAGCTGACCCTAGAGGCTCTCTCTACACTGTATCTATCATTAAAGATCTGCAATATCGCCAGCACATCTCCGGCATTTAAGACTTCTGATGGAAATTAGGAAGGGATCTGCTTAAAAAGCAACGCGTGTATTGCGTGTGTGTCTGTGTGTGTGTGTGTGCGCGCGTGTACGTGTGTGTGTGTGTGTGTGTGTGTGTGTGTGTGAGTGTGTGTGTGTGCGTGTGTGTGTGTGGTGTG